CCCCAAAACCCCAAAACCCCAAAACCCCAAAACCCCTTTTATGGGAGAGATTATTGAAAACTGGATTAGAATTTTAGAAAGGAGTGACAAAAATAGTATTGCTTTCATTGATATCTTTGGTTATTTCTGTTCTATATTTTTCAGAAATATTTTAAAATCTCTCAAATCAGCTTTTGAAGGGCTCGAAAGGCGTGAAAATTTTGGTTGAGACATTGAAGTTTTAATTTTAGCTGAACAGAGAGTAGTGAGAGGGACTCCTTTATATAAAGAGTCTTTCCTCTTTAACTTCAATCTAACTGACGATCGATACTGAATTGGAGGGGTTTTCCTGCTCTCACTCATACATGATGGTTGTATATTCTCTAAAAAGTCATCAACATATTTACCCCTAAGGATTTTTCTCCAACTTCTATATTTATACTTGGCATGGTTCACATTAATTCTATTAGGAACTCAGCTTGGGGTTGGACTTTTCTCTAAAACTTTTTGGGGTTCCTCATCTTCCTTATTTTTCCAGAACCTTAAATTGTCTATTCTTTAGGTATTCCAGCTCATTTTTGGTGAAAGATTTCTTAAATTCATGTATGGATCTTCCTAGGATTGAGGAATAGATTTTATTTAGCTCTTTAAGTACTAAAATTTATCATTATTTAATACCTTTATCAGAAAGGGTTTCCCTCCTTGGTTTTGGAGGAGCAGGTGGCTCTACTGGTTTCTTATTTCTTCTCGGGCAGACGGTCCATTATAGAGTATGATACCCTTACTTTTCCTACAATGTTAGATAGGAAATACCTGAAACAGGTCTTTTAAACTTTAGTTTCTTGTTCCCTGGTTTTACCAAGATTCTAGCCTCAATTGTGTGGTCATCTTTACGAGAAATCTTGAGGTCCTTAATCCTTAAAGTACTTTTGAATGAGACACTTTGTTTTCTCTTCTTGGATCTTCTTGATTTACGCTAAAAATGTTCCAAAATATTCGATAATTATAATGAATGAAAGCTGTCTTACCTTGAGAATCTTCCGACAAGATTTGTATAATCAAGGAACCTTCTCAAGTTTGGGTCCTTTTTCACAATCAAGGCCAAATAAGCTGTTTGGATATCCTTTATCCTTGAATGCTCTAGAGTTACGGTAGGTATTATTTTAACTTCAGATACTAATGAAGTTTCTGTAAGAAATATTACCGATATTGTTTGCCAGTAAAGCTGATGGGAGGCCAACCAAATTCTGGCCTATCTTCACTCTGTAAGAATCTAGAAAGGAGGTCAATGGCTTAAATTTTGACTAATTCCTTACTCACTGAAGTCATTAACTTCAAGTTTGACTTGATCCATTTGTAAATAATTCAAAAATATTCTAAAAAATTGGGGTTTTGGGGTTTTGGGGTTTTGGGG